GGGGTTTTAGGTGTCAAAACATTTTTTAGGGTTTAGAATTTTAAGATATATGCTTTATAAATCTATAATTAGTGGCATTTTTGTAAATACACACCCCTAAGTGGTATTCTTGTAAATGTGTACACAAAAAGTGGTATTTTTGTAATTGCCCCTAATGGAAATTCTCTATACGTTCTCATTATTTTTGAGAAATTTCAAAAAATGCCATTTTTCAAGTGCCACTTTACAAAAATGCCACACTTTTGACTTTTTCAAAATTATTTTTTTTATATTATTTATGTTTGGGTTAATTATGTTCTATTAGGGTATAGTTTTAAGTGTTTAGGGGGTTTTAGTGTCAAAACATTTTTTACGGTTTAGAATTTTAATATATAGGCTTTATAAATCTATAATTAGTGACATTTTTGTAAATGGACACCCCTAAGTGGCATTCTTGCAAATGTGCACACAAAAAGTGGTTTTTTGTAATTGCCCCTTATTTTTTTAACATAAATACATTAATACATGTTCTAAAGTTTTAAACCCAACTAAATATAATATTTTAGAATTACTTAGCATCACATCTATTTTTATGATATATTAATAAGATTTTTATTATTATATTTATAAAAATTATCTATTATGTATATATGTATTTAGATTAATATATTATAAAAATATTTTTATTATGATATGTATTCTACTATATATATTTAATCACACTTACAATTATTTATATATTTTATTATTGGCAAACATACACTGTTTTTTCTTTGTTATGTCCGACAAATTCATATAAATCTAAAATTTATCTAATTTTTCGTATGTTCTATAGTTTACATGAATAATAAAGATCAATTTATATTTAAAATATATTGAAACAAATAACATTTGCATATGTTTTGATCAATTTACAAATAAAAATATTAAAATTGATAGCATTAACGTATGTTTGATCAAATTTATTCAACTTTATTACATTTATGCATAATATATATCATTTTTATATGTTTACAAATATTGGAAAACATATTTTGTAAAACACGTTTAAATATTGTAAAATATATATACTACAATTGATTAATCAATTTATCAATCATTTAATCAAATCTAGTTTCATAATAATTGATTTGGCGTTAGAACCACCTCAAGCGACCGTGAACATTGGTATTCATTAAACAAATTTTAAGGTTTTCTTTCTCTTAAAGCCCAAAAACTCACATTTTTCATTCAACTTCATATCATATTTTTCTTGATAATAAAGCAAATGTTCCAACAAGAAACCATTTAAGGCGAAACGCGAACCGGTCAATCTTCAATTTGTTGGGTCGAATCTCCGGTCTTATCCGGTTTCAAAACAATCGGCTGAAATCAAAGTCAAAACTCAAAAAGGTTAGTTAAGTCTGCACCGAATCTCTTGCACAATAATAGCTGCCGCTTCTTCTTCTCAAGTACGCACAATCCCCCTCATAACAAAAAAAAAACCCTTTTTGGATCAATCCCAAAGAAGACGAATATAGAGATCTCCGGTGGATTAATAAACCTTTTTCAATCTCTCTCTCTCTGTATCGCCTTTCCTTGCCGGCGAATTCTATGTCAGGTCAGTTCTGTTTTGTGTTTATTCGACTTACCCTGAAGCCAAGATCATGTGATGATGTTTGTTCTCTGTCGTATTATGTTTTAGGGTTTTATCATGTATGTCAAACTGGAATTTTATGTCGGATTATGATTAAGGTTTTATGTTCTGTTTATTTGTGAATTTACAGATAATCAAGAACCAATCTTGGCGAAGGAGGAGAGTGTGGCAGGTATTCCATCACCACTCCTGAAGCTTAAAAGCTGGCAATGGTGGCTTCTTGTGTTCATCAACATCTTCTTTCTCATTGGTGGTCAAGCTGCTTCAGTCCTTCTTGGTAGGTTTTACTATGATCAAGGTGGAAACAGCAAATGGATGGCTACTCTTGTTCAGACCGCTGCTTTTCCCATCCTTTATATTCCGCTTTTGCTTCTTCCTTCACAGCCTTCTAGTTGTTCCCTCAAAGTCATTGTCTTGATCTACGTTCTGCTCGGTGTCATCATTGCCGGAGACAACATGTTATACTCTGTTGGACTTCTTTACCTCTCTGCCTCCACTTATTCCCTCATTTGCGCTACTCAATTGGCTTTCAATGCGGTCTTCTCGTATTTCATCAATTCTCAGAAGTTCACTGCTTTGATTCTCAACTCCGTTGTTCTCCTCTCCTTCTCTGCTGCTTTGATAGGTCTTAACGATGATGCAGACGCTCCTTCTGGTGTCCCCAGGTCGAAATATGTTATCGGGTTTGTGTGTACGCTCGCTGCATCCGGACTCTATTCTCTGTTGCTCTCGCTTATGCAATTCTCCTTCGAGAAGATTCTTAAGAGAGAGACGTTTTCAGTGGTTCTCGAAATGCAAATCTACACGTCTTTAGTGGCGACTTGTGTCTCGGTTATTGGGCTTTTCGCTAGCGGGGAATGGAGAACGTTGCACGGGGAAATGGAAGGGTATCATAAAGGGCAAGCCTCTTATGTACTGACTTTGGTCGGGACAGCGGTGACTTGGCAAGTGTGTTCTGTAGGAGTTGTCGGGTTGATATTTTTGGTTTCATCGCTCTTCTCAAACGTCATTAGTACGCTCTCTCTAGCTGTGACTCCTCTGGCGGCTTTGGTTGTGTTCCATGATAAGATGAGTGGCACTAAGGTTATGTCGATGCTGATCGCTCTTTGGGGTTTCGCTTCTTATGTTTACCAAAATTATATGGATGACCTGAAAGTAAGACGAGCACGACAACTAGCACAAACCAGGCGGGTTGATCCACCTTGCTGATTCTTCTGCATTGATTCAGGTAAAGATATTGTTTTAGGTTATTATACTTTATGGTTTAGATAAGCAACAATAATTGTACTGGTCTCGTCATATTCTTAAATCAAATTTGTCGTACGATCAAATCTAATAAACTGGTGGGTCAAAGGAAATTGAAGACAAAATTTTGCAAAAATGAGAAATGACTTTTGCTTCCCATTTTGTTTCAACTTCATGTTCGGAACAAGACTTCAAAAAATGAAAATCTTAAGTTTGATTGGTAATTTTTACTGAGGATATATCGCGTTAATCATGATCAATCAAACTCTTTGCCTCATTACATTATGTAATTGGGGAGAGGAACAAGAATTCTCGAGACTAAACTCATGTTACATCGAATATCAATACGGCGGTATACATGGAATGGGATACAGATATCTAACTTTACTTTCTTACAAGACATATAAGACAAGTTATGTTAACATGAGGAAATAAAAAGATGCATAGTTTATTAGACTACTGCACAGTGAACACAATAGACTAAGATTAGGGCAATTTATTGGGTGCTAGATTAGGATTGGGATTAGGCCAAGAGCCAGAAATTCTTCTGCCATCGTGTGTTGATTAGATAACCACTAACACCTTTGCTTTGTTTCCTCACACCTATTGTCAAGCAATCTGCACCGTTGATGCACCTATTCACGAGCTCATCTGATCTGCTTGGTCCACATAAGCTACAAAACAAAAGAAAAAATTGAAAATTTGTGAGACGAGAGACTCGTCATGGGAAAAGAGATCTGACGGTTGAGAAGACGCACCAAGAGATGAGTGGTGCTGATTTCTTCTGACCCAACACGAGAACAGTTACTTCAAGTTTCTTCACTTGGCTTAGCACAGTTGCTAGTTTTGGTCCTTGAATCACCAGTGCCTCTACGTCCACCTTTTTCAAATTTTTACATCATATAATTACCATCTCAAAAGTTATATACATTTCTCCAAAGTAACAAACTCAGTTAATTAATTAATTGTTATGGGTCAAATGCTCTCAAGTAATTAATTACAATAAAAACAAATCGTGATTATAATAGTATTAGAAACATATCTCGACAGTTTGCTTAGAAAACTTAAAACTTACGAGAAACTATACACATCCATTAGTTGTTTTCAAACAAAATTCCTTTTTAAATGCTACATAAAATATTTTTAAATGGGTAAGGACTAAGGACAAGTAACAATTAACAGGTTCCAACTACATTTCAAGTTTAAGAGAATTAAAACCGAGTTTTTAAACATTAGATCTAAACTAGGAAAAGTTGGATCTTTCACTGATAAAGCTTACTTTACAGAATGATGAATAATAATTTTTCCCTTTTTTTTTTTTTTACAAATAAAAGGAGAAAGAGGAATCAATCAGTAACCACCACTATGGGTCTATGGCTGTCACATAGAGAGAGGGACGAGGCAAAACTCACGCATGCACTACTCACTAATCAAGTAACTCAACACATCATACCAATTCTTAAACAAGAGGAAAAGGCAAAAATTAAGACCCAAATGCAGATTATTACTTGTCTAATATCTCTAATAGTTTTTCAAAGTAAATAATAATGGTAGAGTAAAATGGTACCTCGGGTTTACAAGCTTTGCAGAGAGAACCAAGAGACTGAGCCAAAGAAGGAGTAGGCTCATCGTGAGGAGAGACAACATGAAGAAGAGTCATCAAATCTCCTTTGTTAGCCAAATGAGTCAAAGCCCACATCATTGCATGTTTGGACCTTGAAGTCTCATCCACCACAACCATCACCCTTTTACTCCTCGCCGCCGTGTCTCCACCGGAGTAAATCCCATACAAACCCTCCATGGACGAGTA